TATATATATAATAAAAACATCCCTACTGAATAGAAAATCTTCTGACTCAGAATCTGCCACATCACTGGTTACTATCATGATTCCCATCTTTTGTCGGGTAGAGTGTGGAGGCACGGCACCACTTTTACTTAGGGGGAACGCAAACTAAAAAATAAGCTTAAAAAACTTTGCTGAACAATAACTTTAAGTTGAATCAAACATATAAAGCCATTAAAGTTGTCAAAATATGCAATTTGTCAATGTTTCAGATTGAGTTTTTTGTATATTTGTTCATCTGTGATTAAAAAACAAAGGTCAACCACTTAATTTGTAATAAAAGAGCAAAATCACTTTTTGTTATTTTTGTTACCAACAATTACGAATTATTTGAAAATGAACAATCTCTTGTAAACTTAAATAATCTCAGCATGTGACAAATATTGAGAACTTAAAATATTCACTAAATGTAAACAAACCCATAAGGCAAACATAGATATCAGTGACACCAGGCAGAGTGCAAAATAGCAACTTTCTTGCTTCCTATAAAAAGAAATAGCCACTTAGAGATGTAACAGTGAGAGTTGGCAGAAAATTAGAAAATTTAAGGCAGGCAGCATAGCACAGGAGATCATCCATTCATTATCTTTACCTGCTTTTCCTTTTCGGATCACTGGTGCCCATGTCCTGCAGTTACTGTGCAAGATACGGCAGTCACTGGTGGTGTACACCAACAACTTTTCACACTCTCCCTCACACATAGCGGGGCGATTTAGAGTTACCAGTTAGCCTAACGTGCATGTTTTTGTTCTGTAGGAGGAAACCCAGAGAAAACCCACGCAGCACAAAGAGAACATGCAAACTTCACCCAGAAAGGTCCCGGGCCGGGATTTGAATCAGTGACCTTCTCGCTGAGAGGCAACAGCTCTACCAACTGAGCCACTGTGTCACTGCACAGCTCAAGAGACCATTACTGGAAAAATTAATGCTAAAGCCCAAATGAAAATGTGCTGCACCAAAACATTCTGAGTTCTAAGGGGATGTTTCTGAAAGTGAGCATCAGTTAAAAAGGTTAAATCTGGTCCTCTGAACATTCAAAAAACAAAACAAAGCAAAGTTTTTTGAATGTCCAGAGGACCAGATTTAACTTTTTTAGATTTTTCAACCTGGATTATTGAGCATGCATCAGGGTATGATCATCAGTTAGCTGTAAACAAAAGTGAGAAATATTAGTTGTTTTATGGAACTATTTTTCATAAACCCTGAGTTTTAGTTCCAATTCACAGTCATTTATGTCTCTATCTCTCTGATCTGCTACAACCGTATGTCCCACCACGCTCCCTGAGGTCAGCGGACCAGTTGCTCCTCACAGTTCCAGGAACTCGTCTTAAGAGCAGAGGGGACAGGGCCTTCTCTGTAGCAGGACCAAGACTCTGGAACGAGTTACCTCTGCTTGTCAGAGAGGCCCCCTCCCTCTTGGTTTTCAAGTCCCGTTTAAAAACTCACTACTATTCAATAGCTTTCAACACCAGATGATCTGTGTTTTGATCCTGTATGCTCTACACTGGTTTGTCGTCATTATCTGCATCGTTTTTTTTGTCTATATTCTGATTTACCTCATTTTGTATTTTGCTTTGTGTTACCTGTTGTTCTGTCTGTACAGCACTTTGGTTGGCCTTGTAGCTGTTTTAAGTGCTTTATAAATAAAGTGGCATGGTATGGTATGGTATTTAGACATGTAGAAATCATTCTGGAAGCATAAGCATTTCAATGAAAAAATATTTAAAAACTGCATATTTTAACCATTAATATGGCTTCAGCTTAGACTGTGAGTGGCAGAGGCTTCTGGTGACCATATTTGCAATTTCCTATTTATCTAAGTTATGTTAAGGTATGACAAGTTCAAAATATTCCTTCAGGTTTTTGAAGAGAAAAGTTAAAGCTCAGATACAGTGAAAGCCTAAATGAATTGTTCTATTCATTTTGCACGTTAGGGGGATTGATTGGAAACCAACAAGTTCCAACACAGTAAGACACTAAATGAAAGAAGACAGAAATAGCCTACCTATATATATATTTTTTTTTTTTTGTCTAAAATGTATGCAAATTGGAAAACTTTTTAAAGTTAGAACAGTTTGCAAAAACATTGGAAAGTTTAGGTACCTCACCACATAGAAGGGCTGGATTCTCACAGATTTTAGTAAAAAAAAAAGTTTCTGTGGGGACTGGGAATTTTTTCTTTGTTTGTTTTTTGGTACATTTTGTTTAAGCTATACTGCTACCAAAAGTCTTAAATGCTATTCCTGAAAGAGTTACATGTGTTGATGTATTTTTATAAACTTAGGAGCTGCTCACATTTACTAATGAGCTTCTTTTCTACATTTGATTGAAAATATTTTACTCAATTAATTACACACAGAAAAAAAGTATGTAAGTAATCTAAAAAAGTTAACTCAGCCCATCCAGAGGACCTGACTTAACTTTTTTATATTTTTCTACCTGGATTATTGAGCATATATAAGATGTTAACACCAAAGTTATAAGATATTAAGCATTTTTAATGCTGTGCTAAGTACAGTGAACCCTCATGGTATATTTTGGCTCCAATTATTATCTTTTTAAAGATAGAAAAAGTTACTCTTTCTGTCTTTGTATTTGCATAATCATTCATTCAACCTTTATTTATAGCCTCGGTGACTCATTTACAAGAGAGACCTGTATTTGCATAATCAGTAACAATAAATTAATAAAATTACCACCCCAAAAAACCAAACACTTGTAGCAGAAAATTAAAAAAAAATCCTTGCAGCATTTTAAATAGGATTTCTGGGAAACAAAACACAAAGATACACAATCTTACAATAATAAATAAATCTCTTAACTCTCCTTGCCCAACCATCCTTCCCTCATCTCAGTACACTGTCATCATTAAATCATAACCTGTACCATTTCTTTCCTCGTGTGTTTTGCTACAAAATGCATTATAACAGTGCCAGAAGATGTAGAAATTAAAAGTTAGTTGTTTAAGAGTGAGCCGAAGCCTGGTGTTCTTACCATGTGACGCTCTTTGGAACTGTGAGAATGTGGGGCCACAGACACACAGGATAAAAGATGGGAGAAAATGAGAATAAAGGAAGAAAAGGAGGAGAAAGCGGGGAGGAGGAGGAAGTCAGAAGAAAGTATTTGATGGAATGGCCACCAAAATCTAAAGGACTCCTCCCACATTTACTCCCATCTGTGTGAGAAAAGGCCAAAGGGACACTCTGGAAAAGAGTTTCTCTCTCTCTCTCTCTCTCTCTCTCTCTCTCTCTCTCTCTCTCTCTC